AATTCATATGTTGACCAGCAAATAGCTGTAGCTGGCATTGAATATAGAACTCTAGCTGCCATACCTTTAAAAAAACCATTGACCCCAGCTACTGCATAAATCTATTTAAAAAAAACAAATTTTTTTTTATAAATAATTTTGTTAAAGAGATTCATATAATTTTTTATTTTTTCTATTAAAATTAATTATAGTAAAATGATATTCAAAACTTGTTACAAAATAAAAAATATTCGCTATGAAACTTATTAATGACAACGGGCAAGTGTTTTCTTTGAGACAGGCTGCTATTTGGATCTTGTAAATCAAATATACTAAATATTGTTTATTAGCTAATCATTACTATTATTACTAATAATTTTTAATAAATCTAAAGGCGGTATATACGTTATACTTTCTTTGTCCTATTTTTATGATATATGATATTTGATATTTATGATATTATTCGACAAAACTACTCTAGATAATTACTATAGTCACACTAGATGTAATAACTTTGACCATAAGTTAAGGATTCGTTGCGACAAAACTTTTGCAATAAACCTAAACTTATCATAGATATGTACCTACGATATGGGATTTTAAGTTTACCTGTTTAATTGCCTCCATCATGCCCTTCGTATAACCGTTTTCTTGAGTATTCAATAGTGTTTTAACAACATCCAAAGGTGTTGTCATTGCAGCTGCACAAGCACCGGCAGCTCCTCCCGCTACCATATGTACCGGAGCATTGTACTTTCTTTCATGATTGAGCTACAAAAAATGTTTAACATTAATTACAGTAACAATTTTATATTTTTTATTATAATTATGTACCATATTTTGGAAAAATTCGTACGTAGTAAAATGTATTGTTTGATATGGTATATTCATAATCAGTTGCGTGGAATACGACCGGTAAAATGCTTTAATACCTTCATTTTTATAAACGTCCCGCATGCATGCCAGGACAGATCGATACGGTGAATTATACATTTGCAAGCGTTGTTTGACTACTTCAATAGGATTCGAAACAGCATCATGTATCAGTGTTGCCGCAGCACCCGATAGCACTATAATTATTAAATTAAAAAATAAATATATATATATATATATAAATGTATATATTTTTTGCCAAACAATATGAGAACTTACTATAATTCAAATGATTATTGGTAGTAAATTTAGTTAATAATTCCTTTGTTAGCTCATAAGAACCGAAATACAACGCATGAGCAGGACCAGCACCAATAACAACAGCACTAACACCACGTATCGGCCTACAGTTTCATAACAAATATAAAAAAAATCGGTTCGGTAGTGGTTAGTGGAAAAATCAATATTATGGAAAATATTTCAAGTAACCTTAAAATGCCTTCTTTTTTGATCATATTCGTAAACGTCTTAGATATACTGTAGTTTGATGTGGCTGGTGACAAACTTTGCATTCTTGTCTGAAATATATATGAAACATAAATAAATAATACGAAAATGTAAATGTAGATATTTGAATATAAATAAAAAATATTATGTACATTAAATACATTGTAATTAGAGCTAAAAATAATTTTTGCATTACTCAGGTACACCCCCGATTTGATCCGGGAATAGAAAATTTTAGTTATAATGAATTGATTTTTTTAATAACTAAGTTTTTTTTTATTGTTTATAATAATAGGGTCATATCGTGACATCTTATTAATAAGTATTGCAAGTAATTATTTAAACATAGTTTAAAAAAGAGACTATTTTTAGCTTATTTTTGTTGACGAAATATTGTAAGCGATTAAATTATGCAATCTCATGGTGATAATAAAATATATGGGTTCATTATATCGAACCGGTAATCAATCTTATGCATTATGGTATATGTACACATACATTTTTTCTATATTATATCGAAAAAGAAAACATTTTTATTCTGTATACATTTGTGTTATGTACTATAATTATCTATACAAAACCAAAAGTAGAAGAGAAACAGATATGAAAAAGTTGAACGTGTTTGTAATCGATATAAAACTATTAAAAGCTATGAGATTATTTCCAAAAAATAACAAAATATATGTATTTTTCATTTTAAATATACATTAAATATTCAATTTTTTAAATATATTATATTTGATTGAATATTCCTTACTACATTTATTTGGGTGTGGCCACATTTGCTTTATCGCACAATACAGTTTATGTTTCTGAATATACCAAGTTGTGGATTTGAATCTGTTTTATTGGAGGGACATGGAGAGAATTAAATTATGTGGGATGCGTTATGCAACTGTTTCTAACTCAGATGATAGAAACATTATCTCATAATACAAAAAACACGATTACAACAACAAGAAACCACAAATATTTGAGTATACAGAAATGTGCATTTCACAATAAAAAAAATAAAAAATCATTTTTAGATTAGTTTTTTTTGAAACTTAATATTTTATAAAGCTCAAGTTCTAATAAAATAATTTTTCATTATTTTATCATGATGACAGTATTTTTAAAGAAAGCGATAGCATAAATTTCATTTATATTCAACTTTATTATTCCAAAAATGTCTAATCTACTGAATCATAAAGGCACGAAATATACTATTATTTAAGAACATTAATGCAATTTCTTTATATTTATATATTTAATAATTCTTCCTTCATAGCAAATAAAGTTAACATAGGAAATAAAATTTCTTGTATAGTACAAAAAAAATATTTATATGCATAAGGAACGTTGCCAACGGCTAAATGTAATATTTCCAGATTTTAGTTGAAGTTGAAAGAACAAGGCGAAAAATGTCCAGATTATTTAAAATAGGGATTTTATATATCCTATCAACAGCACAGGAGGGAAGCAAATCTTAACGCAAACGTTACTATTATGAATCAGTAAATGACTTAAATGTGTTGACGATAATCAAAAGCCGTATAACTTAACTTAACGAAAACAAACTATTATTGCTTTTGCTCTTATGGGCTTTTTAATCATATTAATTAATAAAGTTTCGTTAATTAATAAATTTCTAATGGACCAAATGGTCATCACTAAATTCTTAACATCTTTTTCATTGCAAACTTGTTTGGTTTTTACAATATATGTTTGATATATTGACATCTGGATCTGGATTTAGATTCTGATATTTGGTGAGTTTGTCAGTTTTTACTAATTCACATTATAATTCGTTTTACATACCGTATTAATAAAATTGATCTAAGGCACATATTGATAAAGTCTTGGTTGGGAGACCGCGCTGATTTTGTGCATTTACAAGGATCACACTTATTTAGTATTATAACACTTTTTTGACTTTCAAACTAAATGTGAGAAGTTTACTTAAGACAGTCTTACATTTTTTATGCCATGTATTTTTTCAGAACTGTATGTGAAATTTCTTCTCTAATTATACTCTATTTTAATTCTTTTTTATTTTTTATTTTTTTTTTTATATTATTATTTCTAAAGCCCTTGATAGGCTTTTAAGAAGAAATGGCTATAAATATTGTTATTAATGGATGCTCTGATTGAGACATACACTTTGTTCATTTCTTTAACTTTT